CTCCGTCTTGATGAAACCAAAGATCGTCGGCACCAGTACGATACAATTGTGGCCACAAAAAGTTTCGTTAGGATGCCGTTGTCGGCAATGGCCTTTTCTTCGTCATCTTCAAAGAAGAATGGTCCAACGATGCCGCCAGCCCATATTCCGCACCAAACAGTCACTTTTTCAGGATGGATAGGTTGTTCATGATATTGGTGTGGATTTTCAGCCCCCCAGAATCTGCAATTTTGCTTATTTACGTAAAAAAAAGTAATAGATAGCGCACCCAGTACTTTTTCTTACACGTACTCCTCGCATGTACCTACGATACTTCAATTAGCATTAAAAAATAAGGCTGTAGGGATGTACATACAAGATATAACTCGTTCATTATAATTAACACGGAAATAAATTATCATTGAATTAATAGGTACCAAGGTCAGTACCGTTTTTTTCTTCAGACATACCTGTACGTTGCTGTAGGTGACATGTTCTGGTTTGGAATATGCCCGCGGGCCTAAGCTGTGATTCAAAGTCTGTCTCGACAGTGAACACGTTGAAGGTGCATATTCACTCTGCGAAGCTAGGCTTTGTGGTAGCGTACTCGTATCGTACCCTATAACGTTGTGACAGGTGAAACGGAATGGAGGAAAAAATATGAAATCAACAAACTCAGATGGTTTTGCACTAAAAATGGTTTCATCATCGTTTTTTTTTTCCGCAAATGACTTTATATGTGCATTATGGCAGAGTGTAATGACGAAAATGATACAGCATCATACAGACGTTTATCTTGAATTTGGGTTGAATAACAGAAACCGATAAATGACAAAATAATGTTTACAATGTTGCAACATTGTATCTAACGAATGTAAAGCTCACTCTTCACAATCGACCAAGTAAAACAGTGAATTCAGACTAGGTAGGAAACAGTCTCATAATTCTAATAGTGACAGTCATGTCATTAAATTAGTATTTTTGATGTTAATTTTCAAAAATACGAGTGTTTGCAGATAATTGCGGTGGTGTCATACGATTTGGTAATCTTACATAATTTGGAAAAAGCGGCTCTACCCAATTGAAAATATAATAAGTGACGTATAAATCCGAACACCCAGTTTAAATGGTTTTATTTTAATAAAAGTTGGTGAATGTATTTATCTTACTGTAAATAACAAGTGAAAAAATTTTCAGCCTTATCAGTTGGACATTCCGGTTTTTATATTGTTTTTTTTTAATTCACTAACGCTCTAAAAATGAATATTTCAGCCGCAGTAAAGAATCAACGTTGGCGGATTTTGGTTCTTGACATCCTTTACGATCGGTTACGATGCCTAGAGTACGGACACCTGTACGATTTCGTCAACTTAGTGAGTTTGATAGGGGCCGTATAGTGGGACTTCGGGAAGCTGGACTTTCTTTTCGGGCAATTGCAGTTAGAGTGCAAAGAAGTGTAGACACTGTGGTTAGGTGTTGTCAGGCATGGCTTCGAGAAGGCCGTACGCAAAGAGCAAGGGGCACTGGACGCCGCCGTAGAACAACAGACCGTGAAGATCGCCGCCTAAGATTATTGGCCTTAAGGGACCGTTTCTCCACTACCAGGTCCATTGCAAATGAATGGTTTGCAGAACACGGAAGACCTATTGGCATGCGAAGTGTTTACCGACGAAAGAGAAGTTTTGGCTTGTTTTCATACCGGCTACACTGGGTCCTCCCTTTAACTCGAGAACACCGACGTAATCGCCTTGAGTGGTGCAGACAACAGTCACTCTGGGATCAGGAATGGAACAGGCATGCACGATGGTCGTGCCAGGGTTAGAAGGCGACGTGGTGAAAGGAGGAATCCACAGTTTTTTGTTGAAAGACATGTTTATCACACTGTTGGAGTTATGGTTTGGGGTGCTATAGCTTATGGTTCCAGGTCACCTTTAATCTTCATCAGAGGTAACATGAACGCGCAGCGTTATATCCACGAAGTTATAGAACCCCATCTTTTACCCTATCTTGACACCCTGGCAGATCAAACTTTCCAACAAGATAATGCCCGACCACCTGTTGCAAGAGTCACAATAGACTTCTTTCAACATAATGATGTCACATTGTTACCATGGCCACCAAGATCTCCCGACTTATCCCCAATTGAGCACGTGTGGGATATGATGGGTAGGAGATTGCTCAATTTGCAACGTCCTCCTCAGACTCTAGAAGCACTTCGAGAGGAGTTGGTGGTTGCCTGGAATGAGATACCACAGGAGGACATTGAGCACCTGATCAGAAGCATGCCTAGGCGCGTTGGAGAATGCGTAGCACATCAGGGTGCATCCACACATTATTTTTTTTATCATTTACTTATTATGCTTCATTAAGTACTTATAGAAAATTTTATTAAAATAAAACCATTTAAACTGGGTGTTCGGATTTATATGTCACTTAGTATAGTTGTTTCCACTGGTATGATTATTTTGATACAACTCTGTCACTTTGGTAGCCAATGGCAGACAAATCAGTCAAAAGTGTGAATTCAATTACGAAATTTCGGCGACAAACAATGCAATTTATCCATACAGGGTGCCACATTTGTGACTCTCGTGGTACAATTTTGATTTCTACGGGGACGCCTTTTCATCTATGTATAGCCGTACAATACTGGGTTATCCAAAAAGAATATATTGCGTTACATTTTTATTTTTAGATTTTCCATGAAGTTTTTTGTAACTTTTGTATAATGAAGTTTATACCCATCTTCAATCGTTGTGAAGCTATTTGAGTTTTTAATAAAATTCGGCTAACTTAGTATGATAATAATGGAACGCACGGAAAAGAATAATAATCATCATCAGTGTCATCGTATGTCATAGAAAAAATTTGTCTTTCATTTCAAATTGTTAAGTTAGCTACCTAGTTGTGATAAATATTGAACAATGACTTATTCAATTCAAAAAAGGGTAGAATAACAAAACTGTATTACCAAAATGGAAGCATTGCAAAAGCTAACCGCATTACCTCCAGTCGACAATATTAACGATAAGTATAATAAGTGACATATAAATCCGAACACCCAGTATAAATGGTTTTATTTTAATATAATTTTGTATAAGTACTTAATGAAGCATAATAAGTAAATGATAAAAATTTCAAAATGATTGCACTGCTTTAAAGCCCTTTGACCTTTAATAATGTGTGGATGCACCCTGATGTGCTACGCATTCTCCAACGTGCCTAGGCATGCTTCTGATCAGGTGGTCAATGTCCTCCTGTGGTATCTCATTCCAGACAACCACCAACTCCTCTCGAAGTGCTTCTAGAGTCTGAGGAGGACGTTGCAAATTGAGCAATCTCCTACCCATCACATCCCACACGTGCTCAATTGGGGATAAGTCGGGAGATCTTGGTAGCCATAGTAACAATGTCACATCATTATGTTAAAAGAAGTCTATTGTGACTCTTGCAACATGTGGTCGGGCATTATCTTGTTGGAAAGTTGGATCTGCCAGGGTGTCAAGATAGGGTAAAAGATGGGGTTCTAGAACTTCGTGGATATAACGCTGCGCGTTCATGTTACCTCTGATGAAGATTAAAGGTGACCTGGAACCATAAGCTATAGCACCCCAAACCATAACTCCAACAGTGTGATGAACATGTCCTTCAACAAAAAACTGTGGATTCCTCCTTTCACCACGTCGCCTTCTAACCCTGGCACGACCATCGTACATGCCTAAACAAAATCGAGACTCCTCACTAAAGACAATACTGTTCCATTCCTGATCCCAGAGTGACCGTTGTCTGCACCACTCAAGGCGATTACGTCGGTGTTCTCGAGTTAAAGGGAGGACCCAGTGTGGCCGGTATGAAAACAAGCCAAAACTTCTCATTCGTCGGTAAACACTTCGCATGCCAATAGGTCTTCCGTGTTCTGCAAACCATTCATTTGCAATGGACCTGGTAGTGGAGAAACGGTCAATTAAGGCCAATAATCTTAGGCGGCGATCTTCACGGTCTGTTGTTCTACGGCGGCGTCCAGTGCCCCTTGCTCTTTGCGTACGGCCTTCTCGAAGCCATGCCTGACAACACCTAACCACAGTGTCTACACTTGTTTGCACTCTAACTGCAATTGCCCGAAAAGAAAGTCCAGCTTCCCGAAGTCCCACTATACGGCCCCTATCAAACTCACTAAGTTGACGAAATCGTACAGGTCTCCGTACTCTAGGCATCGTAACCGATCGTAAAGGATGTCAAGAACCAAAATCCGCCAACGTTGATTCTTTACTGCGGCTGAAATATTCAGTTTTAGAGCGTTAGTGAATTAAAAAAAAAAAGCAGTATAAAAACCGGAATGTCCAACTGATAAGGCTGAAAATTTTTTCACTTGTTATTTACAGTAAGATAAATACATTCACCAACTTTTATTAAAATAAAACCATTTAAACTGGGTGTTCGGATTTATATGTCACTTAGTATACTTTCAATTGGGTTGAGCCAGTTAACCACTTAGTATATGTGCCAAAGTTTATACAAAAATTTGTATAAACTGGTTCTGTGTGTAATATTCGCCGTAACCGCCATCGAAAAAATCGAGTGAGAAATGAATCCGCAGAAATAGCAGTTTTGGGACACTTAGCACTTAACAACTGGCTACTTCTCCAGGAGTTACACGCTCAACAGTACAAAGAATTTTGAAAGACAAAAAATAAAACTTGTTCATGAGCTTGATGAAGACGATTTTGATGGAAGGTTGGCGTTTTGCGAAATCATGTCCCAACAATGCAAATCTTTTATTAAATATTTGTTTCTCGGATGAGTGTACGTTCTATTTACATGGTGCTGGCGATATTGGAGTGACTCAAATCCATATATTGTAAGACCTTCTTTATTCCTGGAAAAATCTAAAGTATAAGGCAATATCTTACTTTTTTATCACCATGCATAGATGAAAAGACGTCCATCTAGAAATCAAAATTGACGTGTCCAAAACATACCAAGAGACTCACAAATAGGGGTGCGACCTTTTCGTTGGACCGCCCTGCATATGCTTGGCTCCTAACCTATTTTAATTCGCGGAGCTAGACCAATACCACTGCCAATATTTGTATTACTGCACGTTGGCGCTAAATAACTTTCACTCAACCGCCAGTCTCTTACCTTGTCTCGTTTGCGAGGCGCTGCTCATCGCTGATGCGCTTCTGGGCAGATTTGAGTACTGGCTGGCAGTATCCAAGTCCCTTGGAAAGTTAGCATAATTGTTATCTTTATACTTCGCGTTAGCTGCTAGCGTTGAGGCGTTCGCGTAACAGGACTGAGACGGTGTCTGTGGAGGAAGGTTCGAATATAGCTGGTGCGTTTGGATGCGGGAAGCGTACCTCGGCTCGACGTTTTGTTTTAGGGTGTACGACTGTGGCACCTACAATACACATTATTTAATATAACGTCTTCGATTCGGCGAGCTTGAAGAAGTCAGTTATGTAGGGCATAGTCCATTTGACAACTGCGATCTAGAATCACTGCTCTAACCGACCATCTGGCAACGTTGCTATGACTAACCTCGCCAGCCATGGGGCCGTTCAAGTATTACGTAAGCAGATTTATTACAATTATTTACCCTCCCATCCCCTGTCAGCAAAAGTAAGCAAAGCTCTTACCCCCCTCCCCCCATGCTTACGTAAACATTTGTCAATTAATGTATTGTTTTTTTTAATCTTATATAACGTTATAATTATCAAAAAGCAAAGTTTTGCCGATTCTTTTTTGTTTTTGTCTGTAATTGTGCCGTCACTGCATCGATTTTCAAAAACTAAAAAGTTTATTCGTCCTTGGCATAGTCGTAACCTTGTGTAAACATTTCATCATAATCCTATCGGTAATAAGAAAGTTATAAGTGATGTTCTCGTAGTACTCGTTTTGGCTAAATCCAGAATCTTACCTGTGGCTGATTCTTTTTGGGTTTTGGCGGTACAGCAGGCCCCACTTTTTCCCTGGAGCCAATTCTGCTTGATTTATCAGCGCCAATTCGGCGAGCTGTCGATCTAGGTCGTTCATCGCGCACAGCTGGAACAGAATTGAATATATCTTCAATCTTTGAACTGGATCGTTAATCGAACTAATTGAAAACAAATGTATTATTGATATTTCGATGGATTCAACCTTCATGTGCATGCATAATGGAATGTGCAAAAAGCTATTAACCTCTTGTAATGTCAGGATCGGAAGCAAGCCTTTTATGTCGACCAGACGTAAATAGTGATGTTACTATTTGTAACGAGCGTTTTTTTCCATTTTTGGAGATCAGATGAAATCCAGTTAAGCACAAATGATCGATTCAATAATGAATGTAATAATTTTGTTTTGGCCTGAAAATACATACATTAGATTAAAGATCTGTTCTTCCATCCAATTCGGAAAAAATAACGAGCTTATTTTTTTTTTTTTTAATAATAATAATGTTTATTGTCACAAAATACAAGTAAATATCAAATATTGTGCACAATAAACATAAAGCACCCAAAAAAAGTTTGCACTTGTGTTTGGGTTTGTACAAAATAAAAACTAATAGTACAGTCAGTGTATGAAAAAAAAAAAAAAGAAAAAAACCCGTTAATACTGTATAATTTGGTGAATTATTATGGTAATGTGAGGAAAAATATCCAGACAATTAGAACTGAAGTAGAAGTATGGATGTTAGTGTAAGTAAAATATTATTGATTTGATAATGATTTTTCAGATCTACAATTTCGTGGATGGAGTACCTTGGTTGTTGTAAAATCCATTTTTTAGTTCTTTTTTAAATGATTTATTTGATTTAATTACTTTTAATGACTCTGGTATGAAGTTATAGAATTTTGGTCCCAAGAAAAACAAAGATCGTTGTGTAATGGTTTTTGATGTTTGTGGAATACACATTGAATTTTGATTGAATCTTGTTGGGTAGTTATGAATGGTACGATTAAAGTATTTTGAATACTTGAAATAATGTATTAGACCACAATAAAAATAAATTTGTCTGCAATCTAATAGTTGAGCCTCCACATATAGAAAATCACTTGAATAAGTAATCTCCCTATGGAGGATCAATTTTAGAATTAATTTTTGGATGACCTCAACCTTTTTGTAATTATTATTCATAACTCCCCCCCAAGCCAAAATTCCGTAAAGTAATAGAGGATAAACAAGAGCATAATATAGATTATATAGATATTTCTTATCTAGAATATCTCTGAAGTACCTGAATTTTGGAATAATACATCTCAGTCTCTTCACAAGGTACTCTGTATGGGTATCCCATTTTAAGTGTTTGTCCAAAATCACGCCTAAGTATTTTATTTTATCGGCTGACTGAATCTCTTTGAGACCACTGCTTGTATGAATTTCAAGTTTTTTAAATTGCGGTGAGAGCCTGTCATTACAAGAAAATGCTATATAGTGTGTTTTGTTGTAATTAATTGTCAAAGTTCTTTCCGAAAAGAAATTTATAAATGTTTTGAAATCATGTTCGATTGTGGTTTTTAGTGTATGCCACTGGTTGCTTTCATAGAGAATAGCTGTATCATCCGCAAAACCGATAACTTTACCTGTACTATTTATTTTGAACAAATCGTTGATAAATAGATTAAATAAAATGGGTCCTAATACTGAGCCTTGAGGTACACCGTGTGATATAATATGGGGTTCACTGAATGTGTTATTAATTTTGACGCACTGTGTTCGATTTGACAAATAATTTTCTATAAGTTTGTATGTTATTCCCCGGAAACCTAAGTTTTCTAAAGTTTTTAAAAGCGATTCATGAGTAATAGAGTCGAATGCCTTTGCCAAGTCAACAAAAACACAAGCAGTTGGTTTGCCAATATCTAGATTCGTGTATATTTTATTTGTTAATTTTACAATAGCATCTTGAGCAGATTTGCCTTCTTGAAAACCATATTGCACTTCCGCTATTAAGTTATATTTTTTTGCAAATTCGGTGAATCGTTTTTTTAACACTTTTTCAAATATTTTAGAAAAATTTGTTAAGATGGAAATTGGTCGGTAGTTGATGGGTTTTTCTCTTTCTCCAGATTTAAATAATGGTTTTACCATAGTGTGTTTTAAACATGAAGGGAATATTCCTTTATTCATACAAGAATTTATCAAATATGATAGTATGCCGCAGATGTTGCAATTTATTCTTTTGAGAGTATACGCTGTTATATTATCTAGACCTGGAGATTTTCTTAATTTCAATTCATTGATTATTGTCTTTATTTCATGCGTATCGGTCGGTTCCAAATATAATGAGTTATATAATCTGGTCTTACTATAATTTAATTTCTCCGCGTTTTTTATGCTTTCTGACAACCTTTTCCCGATTTTTGAAAAATATTCACAAAATTCATTTGCTATATCTACATCATTACTCACTAGTTCACCATTTTCTTTTTTAATTGTATTAATTTTGTTGTTTTGTTTTTGCCTTGTATTTTATTGATAAATTGCCACATTTTGGACGAACAATTTTGTAGATTATCAAATTCGTCTTGGAGATATTTAATTTTAGCCTCTTTAATTATTTTTGTCAGTCTGTTTCGATATGATTTAAATTCATTCAAAAGTTTAACATCATAAGGGTATTTTTTGGTTTCCTTATATAATTCTATTTTTTTGTTGATGGAGGTAATAATCCCTTTTGATATCCATGCTTGTCTTTTTATTTGTGTTCGTGGAATCTTTACTGTTTTGGTGCATTCAGCAATATGAAAGATAATAAAATAGACACATAACTATTCCTCAATCACAATTACCCTGTCAAGCAGCATTCACTGATACCACACATGTAATATTTAAAACCCCCGGCAGCCCACAATTTTCTTTCCATAAAAAAATTCTGAGGATGAACAGGAATTTTGAAACGTCAGAAAACGAAGTTTGTGCTTTTTGTTCTAGACATGTCAAAGTTTCATCAAAATCCGAGCAGGGCCGTCCAACGATAAAAGGGACATTGCAAAATGGAAATTTGTCTTTGGAATCTGATTACCAACAAAAAAAAATCTGCACTAGAATAACTTCAAAAAATGAAGTTTGAGGATGTTTTGAGATGAAATGACTTGTTTATAATTGGGCTGCTACTAGGTCAATAGTAAAACATCTGATGGAAATACAGACATACATATACTAAGTGACATATAAATCCGAACACCCAGTTTAAATGGTTTTATTTTAATAAAAGTTGGTGAATGTATTTATCTTACTGTAAATAACAAGTGAAAAAATGTCCAGCCTTATCAGTTGGACATTCCGGTTTTTATACTGCTTTTTTTTAATTCACTAACGCTCTAAAAATTAATATTTCAGCCGCAGTAAAGAATCAACGTTGGCGGATTTTGGTTCTTGGCATCCTTTACGATCGGTTACGATGCCTAGAGTACGGAGACCTGTACGATTTCGTCAACTTAGTAGTGAGTTTGATAGGGGCCGTATAGTGGGACTTCGGGAAGCTGGACTTTCTTTTCGGGCAATTGCAGTTAGAGTGCAAAGAAGTGTAGACACTGTGGTTAGGTGTTGTCAGGCATGGCTTCGAGAAGGCCGTACGCAAAGAGCAAGGGGCACTGGACGCCGCCGTAGAACAACAGATCGTGAAGATCGCCGCCTAAGATTATTGGCCTTAAGGGACCGTTTCTCCACTACCAGGTCCATTGGAAATGAATGGTTTGCAGAACACGGAAGACCTATTGGCATGCAAAGTGTTTACCGACGAATGAGAAGTTTTGGCTTGTTTTCATACCGGCCACATTGGGTCCTCCCTTTAACTCGAGAACACCGACGTAATTGCCTTGAGTGGTGCAGACAACGGTCACTCTGGGATCAGGAATGGAACAGTATTGTTTTTAGTGACGAGTCTCGATTTTGTTTAGGTATGCACGATGGTCGTGCCAGGGTTAGAAGGCGACGTGGTGAAAGGAGGAATCCACAGTTTTTTGTTGAAAGACATGTTCATCACACTGTTGGAGTTATGGTTTGGGGTGCTAAAGCTTATGGTTCCAGGTCACCTTTAATCTTCATCAGAGGTAACATGAACGCGCAGCGTTATATCCACGAAGTTCTAGAACCCCATTTTTTACCCTATCTTGACACCCTGGCAGATCTAACTTTCCAACAAGATAATGCCCGACCACATGTTGCAAGAGTCACAATAGCCTTCTTTCAACATAATGATGTCACATTGTTACCATGGCCACCAAGATCTCCCGACTTATCCCCAATTGAGCACGTGTGGGATGTGATGACCACCTGATCAGAAGCATGCCTAGGCCGTTGGAGAATGCGTAGCACATCAGGGTGCATCCACACATTATTAAAGGTCAAAGGGCTTTAAAGCAGTGCAATCATTTTGAAATTTTTATCATTTACTTATTATGCTTCATTAAGTACTTATACAAAATTTTATTAAAATAAAACCATTTAAACTGGGTGTTCGGATTTATATGTCACTTAGAATATATAATAAAAATGATGATAATTGAGAAGCAATATGAAAAACTGATACTACAAGATTTTATTCTAAATAACACCTTGTTTCTAAAACATATGAATCATATGTTTTGATATTTGATAAACATATGCAAGTGTACATTCAAAGAAACTAGATACCGAGTCAAGGTAATACTTGTGGTATTACCATGTAAGTATCTGATATTTTGAGATACAGTGCCTGCTGAAGGTTCCTGATTTAATAAATGCTAAAATTGCTGAAATGGAGTAATGTCTCACTTAACATAAAATGATGAGACAATACTTCCGACGGTGTTTGGGGAGCAGAAAATGATTAGGTTTAATGCTAAGGTCTAAGCTGACACCCATCATCGACACAAGGTTATAACATAATATGACACAATTGAAATCTAATAAAAATCCAAGTGAGAATCTCTCAAAAAATATTCTAAATGCAATTGGAGAGAAATTATTATTATTGGTGAATCATTGTTTAGTACATGGTGAATTCCCATCAAAATTAAAGTGTTTCACCATTACTCCTGTGCCAAAAGTTCAAAATTCTCAGCTGTATACAGATAAACCAAGAAGGATTTAGAAAAAAAATGTTCCACAGAAACGGCAATCCAAATGGTGGTGGAAGACTGGAGAAGAAGCATAGATGAGAAAGGATATATTGTAACAATATTTTTAGACTTCAAAAGGGCATTTGAGACTATAGACAGGGAAAAATTGTTAATGAAATTGTGTCACTATGGCTTTAAAGGATCAGTATTACACATTTTACACAATTATTTAGTAAATAGAAGTCAAAAAACTAAAGTTGGAAATATTATGTCAAATGTTCAAATATATCAGTAGGGGTGCCACAGGGGAGTAAATTAGGGTGGCTACTATTTATTATTTGTATAAATGATATCTCTGACATTTTAGAACACTGCAAAATTCAAATATTTGCAGATGATACACTTATATATATAGCACATAAGCATTTCGACACTGCTTTAGAACTGTTAAATAATGATATTGAAAAAATTAAACAGTCATTATCATAACTATGAAACTAGAGGCAGTATAGATTTTCATCTGCAAAATTGTAATAGTAGCATAACTAGTAAATCTATATTTCAAAAGATCGTAAAATGCAGATAATGACCACAATTGACAAAAAAAATAAAATAAATAAATGAATATGTCTGACAAATTTAGACATGTAACATTTCCCAGAGATTATCTTTTTGTTGCTAATAGAATCTGAAAATAAAAGACAATAGTATATCTTTTTGAATAATATCTGAAATTTGCATATTTTATTAAAAATGCGACATTTACCACTTAGACATGTAAGAGATTATATATTTTTTAAACTATACATTTATATATTTTTACTTACACTGCAGTTATACACTATATTATTAAATATGGCTAATAACCATAGAAGTTGACACCGTCAAAAAAATTGACATTGTAACATTAATGCTAAATAAATCTTCAACAACAACAAAAGCTAAGCTCCTACAGAACTTTCGTCAGTCAAAAAAAACTCGAGCCAACTTGATTGTTTAAAATTTGACTCATTGCAAGACCCTTTGACAACCATAAAATTTGAGCCACACAATATGCAGCATCACGTACATCTTTGGTGTACATGTTCAGGTGGATATCAAAGAATGTTGTAAATGGATTTAGGAAAGTTTCATAGATATGATTCTCAGAAAAGTATGAGTCATGTATGCTTATCATATATTGTATGTGATGTGATTGGTATTGTGTTGTTAATTACATGGAATAAAGCTGCTGTTATTTATGCAATTTTTGCAGTATGTATCAATGACCATTCATTTCACTTGTGTGCATGTTCAGGTCGACATCAAGGAATGTTGGAAATGGATTTAGGCAAGTTTCACTGATATGATTCTCAGAAAAGTATGAGTCATGTATTTTTATCATATTGTATGTGATGTGATAGATATTGTATTGCTGATTATATGGAATAAAGTTGCTGTTATATATGCAATTTTTACACTATGTATGAATCAGCATTCATTTAACTTCCGTTGCAAATTAAAATGAGAATTTGGAAGTGTTTACCAGATGTTTCTTCAAGTATACAGTTTTCAAATCTACAAGTAAAAAATTAATAAGGCAGAGTGTCTGTAGATTACTTAATGCTTCGATAAAAATCATTGTCACATTTAAAACTAATAACGACAGAAGATAATGCAAACATATATATTGAACATACCTTACAAAATGAGGTTATGGCACGCCACTTCACACAGTCAGGTAAAAGGACAATGGACTGGAGACGAGCACGAGTCTTGAAAAACGCCAATACAAGCAAAAATATCCTGAAATACCACTTTCTCGGCCTTTTCACAGTAATCGCGAACACAATAAACAAATAACAAAATCCAGAAACAGTGGTACAGTGGTACCGCCCAGTCCCGCCCCTCCAACAATGAGTCAAAATTGGAGTTAAGCAGCGTTGCCAGATCGGTAAGACAGATTTTCCCCAGAACAAAAATCCACAAAAATTACTTTTTCAAAAAAAATCCTCAAGTCACACTTCATTCAGAGGGGGGTTAGATTCGGTTTGGAGAGCGGGGGGAGCTTTCTAACAGCGAAACTTGTTATTTATAACTTTATTCATAACACGTCTGACATGTCTCCTAGTTGATTAGTTTTTAAGGCACTATGCACGAGACTTACAGTTTAGTATCAAACAAGTGTGAAATTCAAGTTCTTCCTAAACCACCCTGCGTTATTGGAGACTAAGCCCCACATTAAGGTTGGAAACGTAGTGCGTGTAGAGCTGCGCATATATAGTTGGACCAGCGAAAGATTGCAAGCCGAAAGAATGCGGACAAAAAATTGCGAAGTTGTCAGATGTTCTACATAAAATGCGGTCCATACATATTAACATATTTAAGATATAGAATTGTTCCGCTGAATTTGGCAATGTAGCTGGAAAACCCAGGCCGCAGGTAAACATCCGGTCGCTGATTGGTCCAAAACTCTTATCTTATCTGAAACTAGAATAACGTGCCGATGGCACGGTCATTTATAAACCTACTCCCATAGGCGTAGGCAGTTGGCAAATACTTTGAAAATATAATTTACTGTTTAGTGGTGATAATGGAATTCAAGCATGGGAAAGTTATTCACAGCCAGGCAAGGGAAATAATAGCAAACGTGATACGTGCTTGCGATGCAGAAGCGGCTAACAATACTTTCGTTTATCCACTGGTAGCTAGAAATGCAAGGGCGGCATATTATACGGGTGTTAGTGAACGAACTATAAGTAAAATTAGAAAAGAAGATAAAGACAGGCAAAATGCAACCTCCACACAGCCTTTAGCTTCTCCCGGAAAAAAGAGATCACGCCCTTCTGTGATCCAAAAAATTGATGGAGTCGATTTTTCCATTATTCGGAGAATGATAGAAAAATTTTACTGTGATTTTAAAGTGGTACCTACTTGTAGTAAACTTCTAATCAAACTGAAGGAAGAAATGGAATTTCCATTTGGTAAAGAATCGTTGAGGCTGCTTTAAAAGCAAAAGGATTTTACTGGCGTAAATGCCACAACAAAAGGAAATTACTAATGGAAAGACCCAGTATTTTACATTGGCGATACAAGTATCTTAGGTCTATTAAAAAGTTCCGGGAAGAAGGAAGGCATATTATTTATTTGGACGAAACTTGGGTTGATAATGACCTCACTTTCAAGAAATGCTGGCAAAGCGAAGAAATTATGGGTGTCCTGAGCAATATAAGTTCTACAGGTAATAAAGTTTCTTTCACCTCGATTTTGCTTATTATACATTTTTCTCAATTTGGAATATTCTTAATAAGTGCTCATTTAATTTGTCTAATTGAATACATAATCCCTTGCAAGTATTTTTTTCTCAAAAATATGTTTTTTATAACATAGTGATTCAAAAAGGTGTTGGCAAACTTAAAATAACACTAAAATGAGGCTATTTATTCATTTCCAGGACGACTTATAATTGTTCATGCGGGTTCGCAAGATGGTTTTGTTCCTGGAGCCTGTCTCATTTTCAAGGCTGGCTGTGCCACTGGTGATTATCACGGTCAAATGAACCAAGAAAATTTCACGAAGTGGCTTACTGAAAAACTATTTCCTAACATTCCTCCTAATAGTATTATAATAATGGATAATGCACCTTACCATTCAGCTTTGGAAGACAAGCCTCCAACTAGATCTTCTCTAAAAAGAGACATCATCACGTGGTTGAGCAAAAAAGGTATAGAGCATGATCCTAATGCTAAAAAAATGGAGCTTTATGAAATAGCTTGTCTACATAGGCCACCATCTGATGAGAAAAATTATAAGATAGATAATTTAATAAGAAGTTTCGGACACACCCCACTTCGAACGCCACCCTATATGTGTCAGTTTAATCCCATAGAGATGATTTGGGCACAAGTAAAATTTTTCATTAGAAGCCATAATACAAGCGGCGAATTTACTATAAAAAAACTAGATGAAATTTCTAATAAGGCCATCGCTTCAGTAAGTGCCAGTGACTGGCAAAAGGTTATTGGACATGTTATAAAAATTGAAGATGAATATTGGGAAAAAGACAGTCTCATTCAAGAAATACAGGAAGAAATAATAATCAACATAGGAGGTGAAAGTGATAGCAATGACAGTTCCTCAGACAGTGATCATGACTCTAATCAGGATTGAAACTATACTAGATTGGCTACCTTTTAGAATTTTTAGATATTCATTTATTATACTATTGGTTTGTGGCTTTTAGTATCTCAGTAGAAAGTCTAATTCTATGTGTTGTTTATGGGTTATTTCATCAAGAAATTACTTTTTGTTTTCCTATATTTTTCTATTCAGTCAGATATTTTTGACTTGTTGTATTCTATTTTAGAAGAATGCATAATTTGTTTTGCTGTTCAATCATAATGCGTACATAGGAATATTACTTGTTGCCTAAAAAATATATTTATTTTGTTCTCAATATTCAGTGTTTGTGTATATTTATTTCTTATAATGTATGTTTGGTATCACGTCATTATGAATCGCAAAAAAATATTAATACTACCAGTTGTAATAAAATATAAATTCAATTAATAATTCAAGTCTCTCCGATCTCCGCCTATGACTCCATATAAAATCGTCTAATGGTAAGGTTTTTTCATCGCATTTCCCCCTTTCGTCCTAGCAATCTTTGGCTGGTCGATCAATACAACATATACATATACAACTTTGAAGTTGAGTCATTAATTTTCAGATAATGATTGTAGAAGGAAGATAAACCAAAATATGTGTGTAAAAATAACAAAATAAATTAAAAAAAAAATGTTACCTTGTTTTATAAAGTATCCTCCCGACAAGTATTTCAGTGCGGATCTGTGTTTGATCGTGCGGTCTTGGAGCACCGGCATGCCTTCCCCTGTGAGGTCTTAAGTCACCTGATTCACGAGCCCTTTGTACTACATTAACAAAGGCAGGAGAGGTTGGTTGCACTCGATTGGGAAACTAATCCGCACAAATCCGTGATGCCGCGTAAATAAGAATCATGTCCACAAGTTCAGCATTTTCGTAAACATGTGCCATTTTTTATTTCGTTTGAGCCACGCAACAGACACCACTATTCACTCACGCGTTACCGACTGACACTGACTGTATACAACTGAATAAAATAATTGTAAAAACATCGATAAGGCGGATTATATCCGTTGTTGCCAAACACGAGCACATAATATTATTATTGAAACAGGGCGGTACTCAAACTTCCAAAGGGCTATAACTTTGTTACTTTAGTTTTACCAGAAAAATGGTAAAGGAAAAAACATTTCTTTTGATCAGATCTACTCACTGTTAAAATAAATGACTCAACTTCGAAGTCACCCTGTATATACACTTGCAGGTGGAAAAGAAAGACACAGAGAGAGAGAGAGGTGCAGACACGAGAGAGGAACCCCAAATAGATTTCTGAGGCAATGACTTCAGTGGATAGGCGCTGTCACGCAACCATGAGGAAAGAAAAAGCTACAGAAAAATAAAAGTTGCAACCAACAATGGTCAGTTTGGAATTAAATACCTCAAAGATACCCAACAACTTATTTTTTTCCCCAGAAAATTATATCCCGCTAAAATCCCATGTGGAATCAAAAATCTCGAAAATTTACCGGAAAATCCTTCAATATGACAACCCTGGAATTAAACGACAAATGGTTCGAGGATCAAAAATTTGCTGCCAGCGTTGCCGGTGTTATAATAAGGTCGATACATTTAGAGATCTGTTAATCATTTCGGGATACCCTTATTTTACAAAAATAGACGAAAATCGGACTGAGACGTGCTGTTGCTGTAATTGAAATTTCCATCTAGGTACAGGCGTACGTGTGATTCAAAAAACGGGTCTAAGATCAAGGGCAGATTCAGGGGTGCAGGGAGTTGCAGCAACTGTTTGTGGTGACTGCAACGCAATCAGGTTGACACTTATTGACATTTCACTTTAAAATCGTACTTTTCCACGAAATGATATAAAAGTGTGTGGGTTTCATAGAATCCTTGTGTTCCAGAGAATTGCCGAAAATGGGAGGTTCCTGTGAATTTGAAAGAGCAGTTTCAACTGAATCGGAGAAAATCTTTTATCGACAAGTGTATAGACATGGGCGTCGCAAACATGGCTTGGCTTTTTTAATTATTTGTTATTCCGTCGCTAGAGTAATCCTTCATTTGATGACCGCACATCGATAATAATTATTGTCCACATTCGATGATCAATGGATTATTCAACAACAAGCGGCAACGTTGGCAGCAAGTGTCAATTTTTGTCCCATGAAAGTTCACTTACCAAGTTTGGTGGAGCGCTAGTGCGACGTTGTCATATTCTGTAGTTTATAGTAAATATTCTTTTGTTGAGACGCTAATAAACTTTGGAAAATGAAAGTGAGGGGCTCATCAGGGGGAAACATAACGATTTTTTCATATTTAATGTTTAAAATGAGGAATGCAAAAGATAAGATACAGGATCGAAATATCTTGGTCATGAATTAAATAGCTAAAGCAAAATCGAATAGCGTGTCCTATCACTTTTTTTATGCAAGACTTATTGAGATGAGACTAAACGATTGACTTCTTGTAAAGAATTTAACAAATTTAATATCAACGTAATACAAGTGTGTGATAATATTTTATTTCAATCTCATTCATAGTAAATTATTGTCAAATGATTATAGAATCAGTGAAATAAACAGTTCAGTACAAGTAATTTTTTCAAAGCCTTTATTTCTAGAATCAATAAAAAATACATACAAACAGAGGAAAATTACGTTAAATATATTTTTTTTAATTTGCTACATAATGAATGGATGAAAATGAAGTGACAGGAAATGAGAAACACCCATCGAAAAAAATGATAATTAGCGCCACATTTTGAAACTGCGGTAGAAGTAAAATATCTGTAAA